CCTCTGATGCTGCTTGGCCTGCTGTGTTCATCCAGCTCTACACCTTGGTATCTCAGATTCTCCAGCATCTGCAGTTCCTACTATCTCTTGTCCTAGCAGCTTCCTGGTAAATCTTTTTTGCACCCTCTCCAATTTAATAATATCCTTCGTGTAGCAGGACTACTAGAACTGTACATAGTTCTCGAAAAGTGGCTTCATCAACATCCTGTACAGCCACAACATGATGTCCCAACTCCCTGTACTCAATGGTCTGAGCAATGAAGGCAAGTGTGCCAAATGCCTTGTTTACAACTCTGTCTACCTGTGGCACAACTTTCAAAGAATTATGTACCTGAACCCCTAGGTCTCTCTGTTCAACAACACTCAAGGCCCTACCATTAATTGGATAAGTTCTGCTCTTGTTGACTTATCAAAGTGCAATACCTTGCATTTATCCAAATTAAACTTTATCTGCCACTCCTTGGCTCATTGGCCCAATTGATCAAGATTCCTTTGTAACCTTAGATAATATTTTTCACTGTCCACTATATCATCATGCTTCCTAAATTCTCATCCAAATCATTTACATAAATGACAAACAACAATGGATCCAACACTGATCCCTGTGAAGTAATCAAGGTGAATTGAATAAAAAATTGTATTAGCTGTCCTAATTATTTACTGTATACCTATTTTAACCTTTGGTGATTTATGTATCAGATCGCTTTGCATCTCAGATCTCTGCAATCTCTCACAATTAGCTAATACGCTTATTTTTCATCCTTCCTGTTAAGATGGACAATATCACATTTTTCCACGTTATACTCCAATCACCCAATCTTTGCTCACTCACTTAACGGATTTCTCAGAACAATGGCGGTGTTACATATGCGATGGTCATTTGACTGATTTGGATAGTTAGTGCAGACACATGCACAGTGCAACTTTGTACCAACAGATTTAAGAACAGCTTCTTCCCCGCTGTTATCAGACTTACGAATATATCTCCCATATATTAGAGTTGATCTTTCTCGGCACCTTCCCTATTGCCATAGGGCTATATTCTGCATTCTGTTCTATTACCGTGATGTACTTATGTAAGATATGATTTGGCTGGTTAACATGCAGAACAATACTTTTCACTGTATCTCAGTGCATGTGACAATAATCAACATTCTCTTGTCCTTTCCCTATTCTTTGTTACATTCTCTCTAAAGCACTCTTGAATGCTCATCATATCCATTTGTCGCTCCCTAATGTCCTCCTCATAATATACTTTCTTACCTACCTTTGTGTTTTCAGCAAATTTAGCAACCATCCCTGCCCCAACATTGACTCCTAAGCCACACCACTCATTAAATCTTGTCAAACAGAAAATGAACAAGATGATTAATGATTGCTTATGGTTACCATTACTGAGACTGGCTTCAATTCCAGAGTTAACTAATTGAATTTAAATTCCATCAGCTGCCATAATGTGTTTTAACACATCCCCATTAGGAACATAGGAACAGGAGTAGGCCATTCAGCCCCTTGAGCTTGTTCTGCCATTCAATGAGATCACGGCTGATCTGTGGCCTAACTTCATATACCTGCTTTCAGTTCATATCTCGCAATACCTTTGTACAACAAAAACTCATCCATCTCGGATTTAAAATGAACAAATGATCCAGCATCCTCTGCCATTGGTGGAAGAGAATTCTAAACCTCGACCCCTTCGTGTGTAGAAAACCTTCCAAACATCTCTCCAAAATGGTTACCCTGACCCTCTACATTATTTACACAGTGACAGCACCACAATCTCTCCCTTGCATCCTAACATTTCAACAGATACATCTTAGGGCCACAGGATGTGGGGTTGATACCACAACACAGGACAAAGAGAGGGTTGCTGAGGCACACTCTTTAGAAGTTGTCAGAACATGAGACACTTTTCAAGATGGCGGTGGGGTAGCAGGGCTATGTGAAAGTTTTTGCCCAGGGCTCATCCACTCCCATCTGCATTTTTTTTTTCTTTTTACTTCTGCTCTTTCAGTTTTGTTTTTCTTCTCTTTGGCGGGTTAGTTGGCATGGCAGCGAATGGGCCAAGCACAGAGTGGCAGCAGCTTCCTGGCACACGGAGGTGGCTGCAGGAGCAGACGCAAGCTCGTCCTCCTGGCACTTGGGGCTGGCACTGGTGGCAAAGCTCCTCCAGCATTCAGAGGTGGCAGCAGCAGACTCTTCAAGATGGTGACGACATCCCAGAGGAGGGCAACCAGGGCAGGACTCTTGGCATGGCAGCAGCTTGGCGCAGCAGAGCCAGGGCTCCTGGGTGCAGTAGGCCCAGGGTGGGGTCTCCTAGTGTTGGCAAGGCAGCAGCTGCAGATTACTATGCCTGGAGCCGGGACTCCTGGAGTCAATACAACAGTTGAGCCAGGGACTCCTGGCTATGGACAAGGCGGTGGCAGTAGCAAAGCCAGGCACTTCTCGTTGTGGGGCAAGAATGGGTTTAGCAATGGGACTCAGTGGCATCGGCGAGGCGGGCCCATTGGCACCTAAACAGTGGCAACCCCTACCATCGTGGATCCAGCATAGGCGGACTATTCAAAATAGCACCAGATTGTGGTAACATTTGAAGCTTTCACTGTATTTTACTGTACTATCCACTGTAAAATACAAGTGACAATAAATCATTCAGATTTTCTGGGGCTTCAGGTGAACATTAAGAATCTGAAGGCACTATTTGAAGATGATTTGCTTTCCTCGGGACTTCAACATTCCTCTCTCGCTAATCCCTCAAAATAAAACCGAACAATTGATCTTGCAGCTCTATTTGGACACACGTCATAGACTATTTGATTTGCTTAGTTTAGTTAGGCACTCAGTGGACTCAAATGCAACATACTCAACAGATTTCAATACAAATACAAGCTATCTACACATGAAGAGACTGTCCTGGAACTAATCATCTTAACTGTCATCCACCTACCTAAGACTGGCACGGTGGCTCACTGGTTAGCAAGGCTATCTCACAGCACTGGGAACCCAGGTTCGATTCCAGCCTTGGGTAACTGTCTGGACAGAGTTTGCACATTCTCTGGTTTCCTCCCACAGTGCAAAGATGTGCAGGTTAGGTGGATTGGCCATGCTAAATTTCCTGATAATGACCAGGGATGTTTAGACTAGGTTGGTTAGCAATAGTAAATGTAGGGTGATAGGGATCAGATGGGAAGTTGGGGCTGGGGCTGGGTCTGGGTCTGGAGGGGATATTGTCTGGCAGGTCAGTTCAAACTCGGTGAGCACCCACTGTAGGGATTCTATGAGGATTCTAACTTTGTATACTGAGTAAGGTAAAGGGCAGGACAGCCTAGGTGGTGCTGTGACTGCCAATGCTTCCTAAAAGTACACTACTCGCAAATAAATTCTTTTCCACCACCTTCACCTTCCTCAAACTGCAAAAGGCAGAACCTCTAAAACTTTACACAGGACAGAGCAGTCACCAACTTCCCTCCCAAACAGAGACAATTTATTACTTATTTCAGACCAAGAGTTAAGCACCAAAACATATGCTGACATTCCAGTACAGTACCAAGTGAGTGCAACTCTACCAGGAGGTTCTGTCTTTTGGATGTGATGTTAAACCAAGGACACGCCTACCCTCGTAGAGAGATACAAAAGATCTCAACAAAGACCAGCAGGGGAGTCACCCCCAAGGTTCTTACAAATATTTAACCTTCAATCAATATTGCAAAAAAGGAATGATTTCCTGGGTCATTATCACACTTGGACAGCAAGTTGTGAATGAATCAATCAGTACATGCATTATTACAGTAACCACACTTCAAAACAAATTATTTTATTGTCTATTCTTTTTTTAAATCATTCATGCAATGGGGTGTCACTGGCTACGTGCCCAGAGAGCATCTCAGAGTCAACCACATTGCTGTAAGTCAGGAGTCACATGTAGGCCAGACTGAGTAAGGACAACAGATTTCCTTTCCTAAGGGGCATTAGTGAACTGGTGGAAATTTTTTGTTCACAAAAATTGACATTGGTCACACGGTCAACATTACAGCAGCAATTTATTCCAGATCTGATGGAATTCAAATGTCAACCTTCTGCCTTGATGGGATTATAAACTATATGCAATGAACAGTGGTCTGCAGTTACCTCTTGATTACTAGCAGAGTGACGTTACAGCACTCTGGGATGTCCTGAGGTTGTGAAAGGCGCTACAGAAATATAAGTCTGTCTCTCAGCCTATTCCCCATTAGCAGTCTTTCACACACAGGAAACCTTTTGTATCACACTCTCAACTGAAATGTCTCGGTGCAGGGGCAATGGTTTTTCTGCTGGTATAAACTCTCTGTGAGTTTTTAATGATGTTTAGATTAATTTAATGTGAGGGCTCGAGGCTCCAGGGGAGACAAAGCGGTGGCTCTGGCCGTGGTCAGGGAGCGGAGTCCGGCCCAGAGCCAACAACCCTCTCACCGGACACTCACACCCTCAACAAACAACACACACACAACGGCTCCTTACCCGGTCCAGCCGACCCTCCCCCCTCCCTTGTGAAGGTGCCTCTTCTTCCCGGTCTGGCACTCACACAGGGCGGCCTCTTCAAGCTGATAATCCGAGCAGACTGAGGCCCCGCCGGCGGCCGGCATCCCAGGCAATCTGCGCCTGCGTCGGGCCGGCACCCTAGGCCCCGCCTCTCGTGGGGTCTACGCCTGCGCTGGACCGTCACTCTATGGGCGGCCGTCGCTCAGGACTTCGGTTCCCGGCGTATGCGCATGCGCATCCGTCATTCAGGACCCCGCCTCGTGGAGTGTGTGCCTGCTCCGGTCTGTTAACCCAAGACCCACCTCCAGGGGAGTCTGCGCTTGCGCTCTCACGACACAGTGCCGGCAGCCGGCATTTCGGGTCTACGTTTGCGCCGTACCGTCAACTACTGGTAGCAAAAGGTCGGGGTTGGGTTTAGTGAGGGTGTCACCTGAAATATCTATAATTCACAACTACCGAATAATGATGCAACTCACCAACTTAAAATGTTTTTGAATGCAAGTTAAGATTATTAATGTCAATATCATGAAAAATAGTACATAATATGAAAACTTTCATTGGTAAAACTGTAATTAGAGTCATACAGGATGGAAACAGACCCTTTGGTCCAACTTGTCCATGCAGACCAGGATTCCCAAGCTAAACCATTCCTACTTGCCTGCATTTGGCCCATATCCCACTCAGTCCTAAATGGTTTGGCCCTAATTTTAATATTATGTCATGTTATTCTGGACACTCCTGACAGGGGCAGTAATTTCTTCTACAAAATCATTTCATCGTCTTAAAAATCTGAGTTAGGTCATCCCTAAACCTTCTTCACTCAAAGGTATACAGACATTGAGTTGCAATATGCCCTCATTATTAAACCCTATTAGTGCCATCAACTGCAAACCATTAAGTGGGAATCTCAGCAAACCTCCCAAATATATCATAACTTTTGCCGACTTTTTAAACAATACGCACAAATCTGTCAATCCTCTATTGATGGCAATATCTTCAATTAAGAACTAACTCACTGAAGTTAAGGAGAAGGATAAAACCACAAGCATATGTTCAGAAGAGAAACAGGAAAACTCTTACAATAAAACAAAGGCAAAATACTACAGATGTTGATTTTATGAAATAAAAACGGAAATTGCTTGAGAAAATCATCACTTCTAGCAGCACCAGAAGAAAAAGACACAGAATTAATGTTCTGAATCCAGTATGACTCTCCAGAACTGAAGAGACAGGTGGAAAAATGATGGGTGTTATCCTGTCAAAAAGTGGGAAAGAGCATGCAGAACAGAAGGGAAAGTCAGGGGCAGGTATCACAGAATAAAAGGCAAAATGAGTGCTAATGTTTGTAGAGAATGATGTGGAGGTGCTAGTGTTCGAATGGGGTGGACAAGGTCAGAAGTCACATGACACCAGGTTATAGTCCAAGTCACTTCACCTGACAAAGGGGCAGCATTCAAAAGCTAGTGATTTCAACTAAACCTGTTGGACTACAATCTAGTATCATGTGACTTCGAAGTTTGTAGAGAAGTGAGATAGATCAAAGGAAAGTGTTAATAACAGAACATAAATCAGTTCAGCTGGAGACAAAATCAGTTCACTGGGTTGGGTGAGTAGGAATGTGGTGTGGAAGAAAATGGGGGACAGGGTTCATGGTCTGAAGTTGTTGAACTCCAGGTTGAGTCCAGAAGGCTGTCAAGGGCTTAACTGGGAAATAGTGTTCTGTTCCTCCGGGTTGTTTCGAGCATCACTGGAAAACTACAGCAGACCTAGATCGGAAATGTGACCATGAGAGTAAAATGGTGTATTAAAATGGCAAGTGACCAGAAGGTGCAGAGGGAGTCTGCAAAGTGGCCTTTCAAGTCTGCATTTGTTCTCCCCAGTGTAGAGGAGACGCATTGTGAATTCAAACAACTGGATTAGAAGAGATACGTGTAAGTCATGGCTTTCCCTGGAAGGAATGTCTGGATACTGAGCCAGACAGAGGTAAAAGAGTGTTATACTTCCTGTGATTGCATGGGATGGTGGCATGAGAGGAAAATGAAGTGTTGGTGGTGATAGAGGAATGGATGAGGGCGTCATGGTGGGAGAGGTCCCTTTGGAATGCTGATAGGGGAGTGAAGATTTGTTTGGTGATGGCAACCTATTGGAAATGCAGGAAGTGATCCTTTGGATACAAAGACTGGTAGGATGGACAGTGAGAGCCAGAGAAACCCCATTGTGGTTCTGGGAGGGAGAGGAAGGGTTGCGGGCTATGTGAAGGGCAGAGTGGAAACCTATTAGTGAATGATTCACCCATAACCACGTCAGAGCTTCTTGATGATTAGGAGGAATCATCTAATAATCACCATTCCTATCAGCCATAAAAGCACTCGAAAATCTCAGTGCTGTCCACAACAAAGCACTCTATTTGAACAGTACACTGGCAATTGTTCTCTCGACCATTGGTATACTGTAGCTCTGGTACATACCATCTACAGTCAAGAAAGCACACCAATGTCTCAAATTCCTCAGAAGGCTAAGGAAGTTCAACATGTCCACAATGATTGTTAGCAATTTTTATAGATGCACCATAGAAAGCATCCTATCCGGATGCACCATAGCCTGGTATGGCAACTGCTCTGCCCAAGACCACAAGAAGTTACAGAGAGTTGTGAACGCAGTCCAGTCCATCACAAAAACCAGCCTTCCTCCCATTGACTCCATCTACACTTCCCACTGCCTCGGGAAAGCAGCTAACATAATCAAAGACCCCTCCCACCCTGATTATACTCTCTTCCACCCTCTTCCATTGGGCAGAAAATACAAAAGTTTGAAAGCAAGTACCAACAAATTTAAGTGTGGAGCTAGAGGAACACATCAGGCCAGGTAGCATTAGAGGAGCAGGAAAGTTGACGTTTTGGTTTGGGAAAGGGTGCCGACCCAAAACGTCAACTTTTCTGCTCCTCTGATGCTGCCTCACCTGCTGTGTTCCTCCAGCTCGATGCTGTGTTATCTTTGACTTCAGCATTGGCAGTTCTTACTATCTCCCAACAAATTTATGAATAGCTTCTTCCACACTGTTAACAGACTTGTGAATGGACATCTCATGCACGAAAGTTGATCTTTCTTTGCACCTTTTCTGGAGCTATAACATGGTACATGATTTGCCTGGATAGCATGCAAAACAGTACTTTTCACTGTAACTCGGTACATGTGACAATAATCAAATCAAATCAAATCATCTAAACAATGCATTCCTATATCCTGTGACCTCCAACACTGAAATAAACAGAAGTCACAATGTAATGGAAACACCACACAAATAAGTTCTTCCTTACAATGCACATGTTATCCTAATTTGTTCATTGTCACTATTCCATCAATGTCTCTGAATCAATAGAATCATGGAATTCCATATTTGGCAACAACATGAAAGCCTTGTTATTAGACTACATTGGCTCGAGAAAATTCACCAGTACCCATGGTAATCAGGGATGGGAAAACAGTGTGATATTGTCAGCCAGGCCTGTATCCCAAAAGTAAACTTTAAAAATTGGCATAGTGCTGCTGTTTGAAAAGCCACTGACCTGAGGAAGGGGCCATTGTCAGTTGGTGAATATCTGAGTAAGTAAATACATTAGTGAAAAGTTCACATGGCTTTTCTTTCTGGGATGAACTCAGAGGCCAGTTAAATTTCCACTCTCATATCGTCCAGCTGAAAGAAGGACCATTTTATCAGGAACGATTTCTCCCACTTCACTTTTAGTCAGCTATGTGAACTTTCAATCATCACATAATGACTGACTATATTCTACACCCAAAGTAAAATCATTTCAAAATTTCAGAGTCCCTTTCCCCTCCCCCATTTCTGAAGAAGGGTCCAGACCCGAAATGTCAGCTTTCCTGCTCCTCTGATGCTGCTTGGCCTGCTGTGTTCATCCAGCTCTACACCTTGTTATCTCAGACTCCAGCATCAGCAGTTCCTACTATCTCTTAGATACTTTGAGCTGGTCATTCCTTGGAAATGGTCATTCACCTGTTATGTTTTAATCACAAGGATAAAGTCAATCGAATTAGAATTAGGCTTTGTTGTCACATGTACTCAAGTACAGGGATACATGAGTACAGTGAAAAGTGAACCAGGTCACTATTCCTGGCATCATATTAGATACAAAGGTACCTAGGTACAAAATCTTAGGTACAAAGTAGAAAAATAAAGAAATAAAGTTAAAAGTTCAACATTGCAGTCCTTCTTAAGTGCTTAGCCATGCTGGGCTATTTGAAGTGTTGTGAGAAAGGTTATCCCTGAGACATCCACCCCCACCACAATTTTGAATACCAATTGCCACCACATACTCAAGATTCAGACAACACCTTTTAATTTTACTTGACAAAACTGCAGTGTTAAACATACTAAACAGAAACTGGGGAGTAGAAATTTCTAGTTTATTTCTTCTCTTGTGAAATTGTGCTTGATGTCAAAAAAGCTGATTTTGAACTTATTAGCTGGAACCCTAATTGATTTTCTTTTGAAAAAAGACAAAACTATGTTCCTCTGTATTGAGATCACAGTCAAAGATGGCTGCACATTTACATCATTGTACCTTCTAGATTACAAACCCATTGAATGGAGACGACTTGTCTGTAAAGTCTTCAAAGGAACAATTACCTTGAAAGAGATGAATGGGAGCCATCTCCGATCTCATTAACAAAGCATCCGGACAATCATGAGGATATTCAACTGAGTGGAGACATGATGTGGAGGTGGACAGTCAATGTGGCATTTTATAAATTCATACTTTGGAAAATAAAACCAGTCTGACTCCAAGTTAAGACACAAACAGATTCTAAACAGGGCCTCGCACATGAAATGCATTGTCTGGCCTGAGATGTTACCTCTGGTATACTGACAAAACCTTTAATTATCTTGGGCAGTGAGCTGAAAGAAATTCTGGAATTTGCATTTTAATCAATCGAAACCTGCTCTAACTGATTAAAGATTTAACAGCTATCTTAGGTTTGTTTAATACATTTGCATCAGTTCTATGACCATTTGATCTTTTGCTTGTAAATTCTGTGTCTGATGTCATTTCTCTCACTAACACCTGAGAGAGGAGCGAGACTGTGAAAGAGATGACACAGTGTGGAGCTGGAGGAACACAGCAGGCCAGGCAGCATC